TATATATTTAAAATCTGTTAAATAAGTTAAAATAGTAGCTGTGTGGCCAGTGATGAACGTTGCAATATATGGATACTTGGCAATATGCTGCCATCAGTCAGTAGTCTGATTACTCAAAAGGTGTGTGTGCAGAGAAGTATTTGCATATCTGAAAAAATGTTCCTACTCTTACAAGTAAATTCGTCTGGGGAACAATTTGCTTGCATTGTTGTTAGAACCTGCTGTCAAGATTGATCATGTTTTCCTGTGCAATCCAGGAGAGTTATAAAAAAAAAAGAGAAAAAGCTCCCAGGTCTCTGAACCAATATCCTGCTATGGCGTGTGCTAAATTGCCATTGACTGCTGCAAGGCAAGGCTTTTTTACAAAAATGTTCCAATTATTTCTACTGTGATGGTAATAACAGTTGGAAGTTTAGGAAAAAAAAAAAAAAGTAAAAATTGTGGTTTAGACAAGGTCTCAATACAATATTACGGAAATGAACAGTTTGAGAGCGAAGAAAGATGTAGTTTAAAACAATATATTTTTGTGACTGAAGAGGAGGGGGAAAATCAGACACCAGAAGCTGAAATGAGAAGAACAGGGGCAATATTCTGTGCTGAGACATTTTGTGTTTCAACATAGCTGCTCACTTATTTAAGAGCATTAATCACTACAAAATTTCAAGCTCAGCTCCAGTAAAAAACCAATATATCTACACATATAAAATGTAGCCCACTTTCCCAGTTGCTTAATCATTGAAGCATTGTCTATTTCTATAGAGACTGGCTTTGCTCAGCACAAGACTTCATATTTTCAATGTAATATATTTTAAAGATGTCCACAGAGCATCTTACGAAAGGAAGTGAAAGTTTATTGGCACTTGGTTTGTTTTGTCCGCTCTTCTCATCTGTTATGTTAGAAATGTGCAAGGGCTCTTGTGGCTGCAATTCTTCAGAATTTCAGCTGAAGCATCAGCTTTGTTGTCTACTGTTCCATAGAAGTGCCCTGTTTACTCAGAGGGCAATCCATCCAATCATCATTTGTACCACAGCTGCCTCCCTCTTCCCTTCTTCACCATTCTCATATAACAGAGCAACCTCCTGCCTGTCACACAGGACCTTCACCTGGAGTTTATAGTGTCCTGTGACAATTTAGGCTGTGTTAGTACAAGAGACTGGAGAGGTACAGAGGTTATTGAAAAATAACCTGCAAGAGCTAGATATAAGCAGAATGCAAGATAGAGAGAAAAGTGCACATTAAAGCTGGCCAGAATGTGAAAATCCTGCCATGTTAAACCCAAGAAAATAACAGCTATTTTCCAGAAAAATGTATGATTTCTCTAATTTTTATTCTTTAAGAAACAATGGGTTTTGTCAGAAGGAGGTTTACGGGTGAAAATTTTTGATTGCTGTAGAAAAAAAATTCATCCCATGTTTACCATTTCACTTTTGTTCCCATTTACTCTGCCTTGGTAGACACAATCTGGTTTACTGAATTGCATCCCAAATGCAAATACACTGGCAGTTCTCTGCTGTAACTGCTTATTGCAGCTCATCCTGCCTTTATGGTGCATCAAGTATAGGCTGCTTGACTGAAGTCTGAAGGCCCTTCCCTTGCCTCATCTATCTGTTCAATATTAAAAGCTTTCTTCCCACAGCCTGGTTGTGTACAGGATCCCAGCTTTTGCTGTCTACTCATAATGTTTTCAAATACACATTTGCATGCTTTTGTTAAAAATGCCCCTTGTTCTTGAAAGTTGGTCCTCTGAATATATAAAGATACCATATTAACCTCCAAGAGACTCTAGCTGACTCACTTTGCATCGGTGCTTCCAGACACTAATTCTGGTGTGCCAGAAGTACACAGCAGTTACTACTCTGGCCAGTACTGATCTATTGCTCTCTCATACTCCACCCTTCCTACCCAATCAGGACTTCTGTCCATCGGTGTCCTGTTTTATATTTTGTTTGCAATCTCCTGAGGGCAAAGATTGTACTTCAGCTCCATCCAGTTTTTGATTCCAAGCACTTTGAGAACACAGTTTGTTATTAATAATAACAACAATAAAGTACCAACCACTGTATGAATAGAATTAAATTAATTTAATGTCTGTTCTAGCAAGGAAGAGAGAGCACAGTCAAACAGCAGACACTTTGTTACTGTAGTCTGTATCTGAGCATACTTAAAGTCTTTTCACAGTGAATACTGCAAGAAGTTCCATTTATTTCAGCATTAATCACTGTGAACAAAAGTGAAAGAATTTGGCCCCTACTAATGAAAGCCAGCAGTGCTCTGCTGTTGGCAAAGTGCAGAGCAATCCTTTCCCAGAGATTCAGAAAGCTAAAATGAAGGATGAACATATATGTACCAATCTCTTGATAAACCAGAAAACAGGGAAACTAATTTATAATTTATTCTTGCTAAAGCTAACTTAAAACTATGATAATTTGTATATGTAAATAAAAAACAAGGAGAGAGTGCCAGGGCACAAGCTAGAACATTTTGTCCTCATTCAGTGATTCTTATTTTTCTCTATCCAAAATATTTGTTTGTTTACTTAGATGTCAAAGAGGACACCTACTCATATGCCCTTGTTGCTTTTTACATAACTTCAACCACAGAATTAGTATGAAATTCACTGGAGTCTGCTGTTAGGAAAACAAGCAATGGAAAACCTCAAATCTTTTCTTCCCTTCCAGTGGTAACTCAGATTTACAACATCCCAACATCCCAATTCAGACCATTTAAGCTGTGATAGAAAACAAATTCCAGAGCTCTAAGACCCCCAAAGACATAAAGAGCACTGTCAAAGTTATAAATATTACTTGATGTGTTTATATCTAGGCTGTCTGAGCTACTATTTGAAACTACAAAAGCACAGCAACACCATTTTGAGCATAGTAAATTTCAAGAAGCTGCATTACAGTCAGCTCCTGAAGAATGAGATAAATTATAAAATTTGGCATTGCACTGATTAGCATCAAACTGCATCATTGATCTTGTAGATCCTGTTATTTCCTCTTTTGCTTTAGTATTACTTTCTAAGGAATACTAGGGTAAGGAGCCTGTGTCCTCTAAACAGCACATAGTAGCCAAGGCTGCACTCTTCCCACATTTTCCTCCACAAGACATATCCTGTTTTGTTCTTCTACAAGTAGGCAAATATTATGAGATTAGATTAAACTGACAAAAAATCCTGACTCGTGATACTTAAAGACAAGAGGATGGAAAGAAAATGTACTTTTATCATAGTCTTTCAGTAGTTTACAAATGGCAAACCAATGTGTAGTCATGTTTGTCTTTCTTTGGTCAGAGTCTCTTCTTACCAGTGCACTAGAGTGTGTGCATTTACTTTACTAGGACCACATCAGGTTTCATAATGGAATCTGTAACAAATTAAAAGCTCACTGCTAATTAGAGGCCAGAATACTATGCAGTGTAAATTAACTTGGCGTTTAATTGCCATGGTGATTGGAAGGAACTATAAATTGCTAAATATATAATTAGTGTATCAGACTTCTGTGCCACAATGGCACCAGAGCATGGGTGTAGCTAGTTTAGACTTTCCCCCACCATTTTACATGCCTGCAAGATTTAAAGACAGCACTTTTATCTGCCAATATTCTGTTATCAATGAGCAAATATAATAGTTCTGCTTCTTTTAAGGCAGCTGGGAACCTCCTCCTTTCTCTTCATCATATACAGTGGTTTCATTGCAATTACTCTGAAAAGGACCATTTTGGTAAGACTAGTATCAAGCAGGAAAACTGCATATTCTGTGGAAAATGTGCTTTCCTTTTCTTTCCCCCAGAAATGTTAGCCATCTTGTGCTGGATGTCAGAATGTTTCAAGGAGGAAACATGAGTACTGATCAGCTTAACCAACATATGCAAAATGTGTGAGACCAGAATTTTACCATCTTGTCAGGTTTTCTAACTTTCTAAAAGGAAATGAAGCATGTTTGACCTATGAATGATTCCTAACACGTACCATCCTTCAAGCAAATTCTGCAGAATAGCTTTTATTGTAACTGTGACTATGAGGTGTAATACATCAAAAATACTCGTGATGGTAATTAGACTTCTGAACAGCTGACTATGATTAAAAGCATAAAATAGGAATAGGCCTGTTGCTGCATGAGATGTGTTCTCATTACCCAATAGCACTGTTTTGTTTGGGGAGAAAACTACAATATCTGATCTTGCCTCTGGATTTAGTTTTCTACAATAAAGTACCTGAAATCAGTAAGATTTTTGTCAGTGCCTGCCATAGAATTTGGTCTAGGCTTGCCAGTTCAGTTCTGTTGCTGATTATGAAATACAGCCATATCACTGCAGTTTATCTTAGTTACTTGTGGTGAGATAACATGGGATAGTAGCAGTTGCTACTATCTAGTCACTAATTAGCTGCTTTCAGTAAACCTGGAAGTCTAGGGATACTTTTGATAAAGCAAGGTCTTAAAAAATGCTACAGAAGGGAAGATAATATCTTTTGTTCTATTGCTACATTCTGGCCATCGCAGACAGCAGCCAAAGAAAGGGATATCTATCTTCTAGACAGTCAGGACACGCTAAGTTGGTGCATCCAAGTGTGGCTGCCAGAAGAGCGCTACTGAAGGTTGCAGGACTGGCTGATATGGGCTGGTGTTTGTGGGTGGTGACACAGCAGTACGACACGAAACCTTCAAAACTGAGTTTATTATTTCACCTTTAGACTGTGTGTCATGGCTCATCTTTATAGAGCAGCTGAGTACAGTATCAGGAATTAATTTCTCATCTGCCTAGTTCATAACAGATAAAAGCCTGTGGCAGTAAACAGGCATACTAGGTCTTGTGTAGCAGTAATGGCTGTGTTGGTGAGAGATTAAATAAAGAGAGGCATAGGTCAGAGGCAGATTTACTGGGCAGAGGAGCTGATTGTAGGAGCCATAATCCTCTCTTCTCCCATTAACATCAGCAGGTGTTTGCTCTGGGTCATGGGATGTGGGGGTATTTACATAATTATGCTGTCTCCCTTCCAGATCTTGAATGCATCCATCCCTGGAAGGCATCCCTTTTCTCAAAAGTTTTTGTCCAGTCATTTGGAGGACATTGGAATTGCAGGCAGAGGAGTGACATACAACATCTGCACAAGTTCTGGACAAGCGCATCGTCTCCACTATATCAGCTAAAGTAGAATAGTTTAAGATGAACCTTTTTAGATGAACCTTTCAAGAACAGGGAAAAAGAAAAACAAATTCACACCTCAAAGTAAGCAGAAGACATTATTAAAACAGTGGTAAAATGGAATACATCTGTCTGCTTTTAGCTTCTGACATTGCAGTTAAAGTTTAAATCTAAACAAGATGGCAATATTGATAATGTTTAACATGGCTGGCCATGCAGCTCTTTCATTATAGGGCACTCGCTTGCAGGAACATCAGCCTCTGCTTTGCATCACATCATCACAAATACTCTGCCAAAAGAGCAAGCTGTAAGTGATTGTGACTAAACGAAATGAAGCCACTGTTGTCCTTCTCAGCTGTCAGGCTCTCTGCTGGAGGAACATCCAGGAAAGGGAAGGGAAGGGGACACTGTTAAAAAAGTATTTCCCAGAGCACAGAAGAAGCAGAGACACAAAATGGTTTTCCTAAATGGGAAAAAGGCCCTGCTATTACTTTCTGGCTACCCTACGGATGAATAAATCAGGATTCATGTTAGTCTCTAAAATGTGCAAAAAGTGTCTGCCAGGGTTTAATTTTGAAACCTTTTCAAAAGCTCAAGAGCTTGTAAGAGCGTAAGTCATGCAGGGGGAAGGAGGTGGGGAGTAAGTGGGTGGAATGCAGAGAAAGTGGGAAAGAAACGGGAGAGGCTGTGTTGCAAGGACAATGGCTTGATCTTGGGTGGAGAGTTGATGAACCTAGGCCTCTGGGAAAAAAAACCCCGAATTTTCTTTCCACAAAAGTTGAGGCATGGGTGAAGCACCTATTACAGCCTCCTGGGGAAAAGTCAGCCCTTTGCCAGCCAGGTTTTCTGTCACCTCGTGGCGGGTGACCTCTCCCCGGAGCAGCGGACGCCGGCCGCTCGCAGCGCCGGGGCGGCAAGGCTGGGGTGGCGGCGGGCAGCTCCCGGTCGCTGTCCAGGGAGCGCGGAGGCGGCAGCGGGAGCTGACAGCAGGGCAGCCGCGGGGGCTTGGCCGGACAGTTCCCAAATAAGGGCCACGGGCACAAGCGGGCTGACGGAATTTGGGCGCGGGGTCCCGGGCCGTCGGAGGTGCCTGAGCCCGAGGGGCGCAGGGTGCCGGTCAGGGCAGGAGCCGGGCCGGAGCCCGGAGCACCTTCCCCGCCCCGCGGGGGCCGCGGCGCGGGGGAGGGAAGGAGGGCGGAGAGCGGCGGGCGCGGGACGGGTGCTGAGGAAGGAGGCAGTGAGGCTGGCGGCGGGAGCTCTGCCCGGGGCCGGGGCGGGCGGCGCTCAGGTGAAGGAAGGGCCGCTCGCCCGGGGCGGCGGTGACGCGGCTGCGGCGCGGCGGGGCTGCCCCGCGGCCCCATGTGGCCGCCGCCGCCCGTCCCCGGCGAGGAGAGCGGCCGCGGGCGCTGAGCGGGGCTGCCCGGGGCGGCATGCGGAGCCGCCGAGGATGAGCAGCCAGCGCCGCCCGGCCAAGGCGCAGCTCCGGAGGTCGCTGAGCGAGCAGCTGCGGGACTCCACCGCCAAAGCCTGGGACTTGCTGTGGAGGAATGTCCGGGAGCGGCGGCTCGCAGGTCAGTCCCCGCCGCGCCGCGGCCGCCGCTACCTGCCCGCGGCCGCCCGAGGGGACGCCCCGGGGGACGTCCCGGCGCGGAGGGGTCCCGCTCCAGGGCACGTCCGGGGGGCACCATCTCCGCTGCCGGAGCGGGGAGAACCCGCGGCTTCGGCCCGGCGGGACGGCGAGCTCCCGGCAGCGGCCGGGCGGGTCGGGCTGCGGGCAGCGGCCGGGCGAGGCAGGTCGCAGCCCCAGCCCCTGCAGGCGGCACCTGCCGGGCGCTCACACCGCAGTCGGGCTCGGGGCTAAGCCTCCCCGTCGGTCCCTGTCAGAGGCACCTTCTGAGCGTCTCTGAAATGAAGAGGGTTGGCTTTGCCTCCGAGAAGCAGGCTCACTTGCTTCTCTGATCAGTGTTCTAAGTCTAACCAACCAGGCTGGTTCCTCATAAGGTTTGCATGTGAGAAGTACCACAAGTCCCAAAGAAAAATAGTCTGTTTCATTTAAGGTGCTTTAGGTCACCTACCTGCTCTGGAAAACCATCCTCCTGCAGCTTTTCCATCCCCAGGTGGGGACCAGAAGGGCACAGAGCAGGGCAGGTGCTCCAGGAGGTCGGGTCTCAGAGCACTGCTATTGCAGCAGCACAGTCACTTTATGCACATAAGCATACATCCACTGTGTATTTGTAAAATACTCTGTGAATTAGAAGATCTAGAGGGTACATGCAAGCATAAGTTAGAGTTATTATACTAGAAAACAATACATCAAGATTTATGAGCAGGATCATGTATAATGAAGTCTAATTTATAAAGATGGATTCCTCTGTCACATCTTACAGTATTGTTAGGAGTTTGGTGACCTTACCTAGGGCACTGTGACATGCTGGTATTGTATAATACAGAGGTAAATGATGCAGGTTTTCAGACTGTGTCTACAGCACATTAGTTCTTATGTACATACAATTAAAGTAATAGATAAAAATTGCATAGTAGTTGGTTTTTTTTTTTAATTAATCTAAACTGGGTAGCCTCAGTAATGAATTACTAAAACTACTAATTTTGTAGTATTATGGTTAACCAAAATACTAAACTTTTAATGTTTTCATTTACTTTTAATTCCCTTGTTCCTATATTGCTAACAGATGCCAGCAGACATTCAGCAAGGATACTGTTGGCTATTTTTTTTTTCTTTTTTGGTCAAAGACAACTATTGCTTGATTGAGCAAAGAACCTGGGCAGGTTGCCATGATACTGTAGCCAACTTCTTAAAGCAACTGGGTATTAAAATTGACGGAGTCAAAACTTTTTATTTAAGGTGGATAGAATACTAATGTCCTGGGTTTATGCATTGCCACAATTTAAGTCTATGCCACTATTCATAATACTCTGATGAGATGCTGTTGTACTTGTCCTTTAATTCAATTACTTATCTGACGACATAATGAAATGTGTACAAATATCTGTTGATGCCAGATATGTTCTCTTGTTCTGAAGCTTTTCTGTCTCTGGCATTTTTGTCCTTGTCTTTATATTTTTTTGTTGTGCTGACCTGCATAGCTGCAGTGTATATTCCTTGGCCTCTTCTTCCAGCTTCCAGGCGGGAAATTTAAGCTGATCTAAATGTGTCAACTATTTGCTGGCTAACAAACAGTTGTCAAAAAAAAGTTGTCAAAAGCTACAGCTTCTTCTCCATTACAATAGAACTGATCCCAACCAGGTAGATAATTCTACAAGTTCCTTCTTTTTCCTCAAAGTTGGCATTGTAGCTCAGCTCTGATTGGCAGTCAGAGCAACAGTGTAGCTGGCAACTGATGTTCAAGAGCAATGCTAAAAATGATATGCAGTTTTAATCATTAGCGTGCTGTCATATTCCAACTATCAAGCCAAATAAAAATTTGTGATTAAATCCTCGTCACAATGACGGCTTTGCAGGCACTTACATAGGTATTGTTTTGGTTTGCTTTAGTCTTTTATCTATTTGTTAAGGATCAGGACACCAGTTGCCCAAGAGAGACCTATAAAGAAAGCAAGCACATTTTTGTAATTAATAAAAATGTTATAATTGTTAGGGTTGGATGAGGTGTTGGGAACTCTCTGGTGTAGTCTCTAGCTCATAGCAGGATCAGCACTGGGAGCAGAGCAGGTTACTCAGGGCTTTCCCCAGTGCTCCTTGGGAAGAGTTTCTGCCCTGACGTCCAGGCTGGAGGAGAGGACAGCAGGACAATTTGGGCAGCAGGGATGTGAGTTGGAGAAAGAAGCTGAATCCTGGCTAGAGCAAGGAGAGAGCTGAACTTTGACCCAGCTGCTCCCAAAGAGGCAGAGAGCATGACTGGGTTGCTGTGGAAAGTAGGTTGTGCATAAAGAGACTGCGACAGTGTGCTCCTTCCTTCCTTCCCTCACTCTTAACAGCAGAGGTGATGAGCAGCAGCCTGGCTTCAGGCACGCTCCTGGACAGGGCTGCTCCATACTGTGTCTTATTCAGGACAGATCCATGGTGCCCAGCAGCTCTTAGTCACTTTTTCTGATTCACTGACTGGGATTTGTTTTTCAAACAATGGGTGTACCCTCTACAGTGCCAAAAATTGCACCCTTAGGGGTTTTTTTGCGCTTTTTGTAATTTTTGCCAAGGTATTTTACACTGTTTCCACTATGCTTATGCTTTAATTTGGAATTCACAAACTGAATGGGAAATGTACGAGAATTTTAACTCCCTGTGGGGACCTATTCGCCTGAAAAGTTATGTAAAATACTTTTGGTTTAATGTAATCCTGAACTGCTTTGCCATTACTGAAAACCATTGTTTAAGGAATTTGACTTAGGTGTTTAACAGATCCTCCAATAGTGATCACCTAAGGTAATTCTAAGATCCCTGCTCAAATAATGATCAGCTCTTAGAGTAAAACACAAGAAGTTGCAGTTCTTACATTCCTTGTATGTAAGGGGAATGTGCCACCTTCTATCTGTCATTCTTTCACTTACTATACACTAAATAAATTTAAAATTTAGTGTTCAAATTCAGTACTTTTAAATCAGGAAACACCAGAGGTAAGGAGCCCAGTTACTGTATTGCACAGCCCCCCTCGGAGGGTAGGATTGTCATTACTGACATGATCACCTCACCCTTTTTGTTGCTCAGAATTTTTTGGCCTCATTTACTGCACAAAGTGATGATCCCCATTGCTGAATCTTAGAGCCTTCTGTACCGCAGCTTTCTGAAATACTGGACTAAGCACAGAATTACAAATTCCCTCAGGTCTTCATGAGCCTGGTGCTTGCATATGTCATACCATTAATGTTTCAATTGTTTCTAGAAGCTGCAAGGTTACATTGTTCCCATTTTACAGATAGAAGCAAGAGGTGAAGTGAGGCTGAACCCCAGGATTATCAACTCTTGAGAGTTAGAACTTGAATTATCTACTTTACTATTCAAATTATGATTCTCAGTAACTGCTATTGCACAAC